ATGTACACCCCTTCCCCTCTCTTAACACTTTGGGGGGACTTTTTTCCCCCCTCATGATACTTGCGCTCCCCCACACCCCTCCCCCTCTTATCACCGCCTGCCCAAACACTATTTCCCCCCTTTTTTCCCCTCATGTACACTTCTTCCCCCCTCCCCACCCCCCCTCTTGCACCCATCTTTCCCCCCCTTTTCCTTTCCTCCATTCCCCTTTTCCCTCCTGAACCCCCTTCCCCCCCCAACACCTTTTTCCCCTTCCAATTTCCCCCCTTTTTAAATTCCCTCTGACACCTCTTCCCCCTTTCCCCGTGGGGCCCCTTTCCCCTCTCTGTTCACCCCTCGCCAAAATTTCCCCTCCATGTACACCCTTTCCTCTCAGCATCCCCCCCAAACCCTTTCTGCCACCAAATACTTCCCCTCTCTTTTTCCGGGACCCCCCCTTCCCCTTAAAACACTTCCCCCCTTTCCACACTCCCCATATCCCCTCTCAGTTTCCCCGCCCGGGGTTCCCCTCTTTCCCCTCCTGTAACCCCCCCCCTGCACCCACTTTCCCCCTCCCCAATTCCCCGGCCAACACTATTCCCCTCTAAATATCCCGGCGCCACACACTTTCCCCCCCTTTCATCCGCGCGCCCCACCCCCCCTCTATAATTTTACCCCTCCACCCTCTTCCCCCCCGTATCACTGCCTCTGCCCCACACTTCCCCTCATGTAATCCACTTGCCCCTTTCCCCCGTTTTCCTCCCCTCTCCCCTTTCCCTTTTTCCTCTGCCACCCCTTTTTTTCCCCCTTTCCCGACCCCCCTCTTCCCCCCAACATTCCGCCCCCCTTTAAAAACCCCTTTTTTGACCTCTCCCCAAAATACCCCTCCCCCAATTCCCCAAACCCCTCCTCCCCCAAATTCCTCTTTAACCACTTCCTTTCCCCCCAAAATTTCCCCCCCTTATTTTGGGTGCCAACAAATCCCCCCCTTTTCACCTTTCGCGCTGCACCACTACTTCCCCCTTTTCAAGGTAACCACTTTTCCCCCCTGTTTAACTACTTCCCCCTAATCCCCATGTCACCCCTTTCCCCCCCATTTCTTGGTTTCCCTTAAAATTTTCACCCCAAATTCCCCCATGACACCACCCCCCATTCCCCCCCGCCCCGGGGCCACCAAAAATTCCCCCTTTATTAACCGGGCTGCGCAAAAACTCTTCCCCCTCCTTTTAACCTGCGGTGCACCACACTTCCCCTTCCATTATTAAACTCTGACACTCTCCCCCTTTTCCCTCCCGTGCTCCCATACTTTCCCCCTTTTTTCATTTTCCCCCTTTTCCCCCTACTTCCCCCCCCTTAACACGCCGCACAACCCACTTCCCCTCTGTATCACCCCCAAATTTTTTAAATTGTGGTTGCAGGGGTCGAGACCAGCCCGGGCCCCCGCCTCTTCACTGATCGCTACGGATCCTCTCTCTCTCCTGCTTCCTGAGCTTTGTCCATACCTCTTCTTAAAACTATGTATGGTTCCTGCCTCCACTACTTCACTTGCTAGGCTATTCCCACTTGCTGACAACTCTATGACTGAATAAATACTTCCTAACGTCCCTGTGACTCGTCTGAGTCTTCAGCTTCCAGTTGTGACCCCTTGTCCCTGTGTCCCCTCTCTGGAACATCCTATCTCTGTCCACCTTGTCTATTCCCCGCAGTATCTTGTATGTCGTTATCATGTCTCCCCTGACCCTTCTGTCCTCCAGTATCGTCAGTCCGATTTCCCTTAACCTTTCCTCGTACGACATTCCCTTGAGCTCTGGGACTAGCCTTGTTGCAAACCTTTGTACTTTCTCTAACTTCTTGACGTGCTTGACCAGGTGTGGGTTCCAGACTGGTGCTGCATACTCCAGTATGGGCCTAACATACACAGTGTACAGTGTCTTGAACGATTCCTTATTAAGGTATCGGAACGCTATTCTCAGGTTTGCCAGGCGCCCGTATGCTGCAGCGGTTATTTGGTTGATGTGTGCCTCCGGTGATGTGCTCGGTGTTATGGTCACCCCAAGGTCTTTCTCCCTGAGTGATGTCTGTAGTCTTTGTCCACCTAGCCTATACTCTGTCTGCGGTCTTCTTTGCCCTCCCCAATCTTCATGACTTTGCATTTGGCTGGATTGAATTCGAGAAGCCAGTTACTGGACCACATGTCCAGCCTCTCCAGGTCTCTTTGCAGTCCTGCCTCATCCTCGTCCGATTTAATTCTTCTCATCAACTTCACGTCATCTGCGAACAGGGACACTTCAGAGTCTATTCCTTCCATCATGTCGTTCACATATATCAAAAATAGCACTGGTCCTAGAACTGACCCCTGTGGGACCCCGCTCGTAACAGCGCCCACTGTGATACCTCTTCACGTACCATGACTCGTTGCTGCCTCCCTGTCAGGTATTCCCTTATCCATTGCAGTGCCCTTCCTTTTACGTGTGCCTGATCCTCCAGCTTCTGCACTAATCTCTTGTGGGGAACTGTGTCAAAGGCCTTCCTGCAGTCTAGGAAAACGCAATCTACCCAACCCTCTCTCTCGTGTCTTACTTCTGTTACCTTGTCATAAAACTCCAGGAGGTTTGTGATACAAGATTTGCCTTCCATGAACCCATGCTGGTTTTCATTTATAATCTTGTTCCTTTCCAGGTGTTCGACCACTCTCCTCCTGATAATCTTCTCCATGACCTTGCACACGATACATGTCAGAGACACAGGTCTGTAGTTTAGTGCCTCGTTTCTGTTTCCTTTCTTAAATATGGGGACTACATTAGCTGTCTTCCATTTCTCAGGTATTTGCCCAGTTTCAAGGGATGTGTTGAAGATTGTGGTTAGAGGCACACACAGCATCTCTGCTCCTTCTCTAAGGACCCATGGGGAGATGTTGTCCGGTCCCATCGCCTTTGAGGTGTCAAGGTCACTTAAGAGCTTCTTCACCTCCTCCTCAGTTGTTCGTATGTCATCCAACACTTGTTGGTATATTCCCTCTTGATGTTCCCTTCTGTTCTGTCTTCCCACAGCCCTTCCTGTCTCTACTGTAAAAACTTCCTTAAATCTCCTGTTCAGCTCCTCACATACCTCCTGATCATTTCTTGTGAGTTCTCCACCTTCTGTCCTTAATCTGATCACCTGGTCTTTGACTGTTGTCTTCCTCCTGATGTGGCTATACAACAGTTTTGGGTCAGTCTTGATTCTCGATGCTATGTCATTTTCATACTGTCGCTGGGCCTCCCTCCTTACCTGTGCGTACTCATTCCTGGCTCTGCGACTGATCTCCCTATTTTCGTGTGTTCTCTGCCTTCTGTACTTTTTCCATTCTCTATTGCACTTTGTTTTTGCCTCCTTACACCGTCGGGTGAACCAGGGGCTTGTTCTGGTCTTCCCGTTGTTACTGTTGCCCTTGGGAATGAACCTTTCCACTGCCTCCTTGCATTTTGTTGCTACATATTCCATCATTTCATTTACTGTATGTGTCTGTATGTGTCTGTGTCTGTATGTGTCTGTATGTGTCTGTGTCTGTATGTGTCTGTATGTGTCTGTATGTGTCTGTGTCTGTATGTGTCTCTATGTGTCTGTGTCTGTATGTCCCTGTATATGTCTGTATGTGTCTGTGTTTGTATGTGTCTGTATGTGTCTGTATGTGTCTGTATATGTATGCATGTGTCTGTGTCTGTATGTGTCTGTATGTGTCTGCATATATCTTCGTGTGTCTGTATGTTTCTCTATGTGTCTCTATGTGTTTCTATGTGTCTGCTTGTGTCTATGTGTGTCTACATTTGTCTGTATGTGCTTGTATGTGTCTGTATGTGTCTGCACGTGTCTGTGTCTGTATGTGTCTGTGTATGTATGTGTTTGCATGTGTCTATTTGTGTCTATATTTGTCTGCATGTGTCTGCATGTGTCTGTGTCTGTATGTGTCTGCATGTGTCTGTGTCTGTATCTGTCTGCATGTGTCTGTATGTGTCTATGTGTGTCTACATGTGTCTGTATGTGTCTGCATGTGTCTATGTCTGTATGTGTCTGCATGTGTCTGTGTCTGTATATGCCTGCATGTGTCTGTGTCTGTATGTGTCTGCATGTGTCTGTATGTGTCTATGTGTGTCTACATGTGTCTGTATGTGTCTGCATATGTCTGTGTCTGTGTCTGTATATGCATGCATGTGTCTGTGTTTGTATGTGTCTGCATGTGTCTGTGTCTGTATGTGTCTGCATGTGTCTGTGTCTGTATGTGTCTGCATGTGTATGTGTCTGTATGTGTCTGCATGTGTATGTGTCTGTATGTGTCTGCATGTGTCTATATGTGTCTGCATGTATCTGTGCCCCATGCCCACGGTAATAAGTAATAAAACTAACAACAACTTTTATTGAAGCATCAAACTATTTCTATGCCAGTTTTTGAGTGTCATCCATATGTTAAATTCCTTTGAAATATTATTTTTTTTCTGTAACGTAAAATGCATGAGTAATTTTAAAAAATAAATTTATTTGAGAGGGCACGATGGCAGCCATGTTTCACATATCAGTAATAATTAAGGATAATATTAAGAAAGTCATCTTCGACGAGCACGTAAGTCTTACCTGACTCACGAAATATTAAAAACAAGATTGGAAATAAATCACGAATGGTGTATAAAAAAATTCCAGATATGATGAATGTTAGAGGCAGCTGTCCAGTGGTTAACACACTGGCCTGTGAGTTTTAGTTCTCACTTACCATGGTTTAAACCCCCTCCCGTTCCCTAATTTGATAGGCCTTAGGTTAGGTTAGGTGAGGTTCGTCAGGAAACAGGACAAGTGTTTCCCGACGCGGATCTTAATCATATGATGATCCACAGCTGGAGCTTTAGGTCATGTGACCGAGGTCATGTGACCGAGGTCATGTGACCGAGGTCATGTGACCGAGGTCATCTGACCGAGGTCTTCCGCTGACTTACCAGTCCACTTTTATAAAAATTATAGCTGTGATTAAAACCATTATTGATAGGTCTTACCTGGCATAAATGAAATGTAAATTGTCCTGAGAAACTCATGTCCATCTTTCTTAAGACTTTTAAGAGCTTCCAAATACTGTATTCCAACACACTTCATATCTTGTGTACCACGACCATATATATCACCATTGTCGTCTTTATCACCACTGAATGGTTCGTATTTCCAGTGTTCCTGAGGACGGTACAAAAGATATATAATCTCCATTAATATATTTTACCATAATGTTACCTGAGCTACAGAATTATGTACATACACTACAGAATTATGTACATACACTACTGAATTATGTACATACACTACTGAATTATGTACATACACTACAGAATTATGTACATACACTACAGAATTATGTACATACACTACAGAATTATGTACATACACTGCAGAATTATGTACATACACTACAGAATTATGTACATACACTACAGAATTATGTACATACACTACAGAATTATGTACATACACCGCAGAATTATGTACATACACTACAGAATTATGTACATACACTACAGAATTATGTACATACACTACAATCTTGACTATCTACATGCCTTCAAAAATTAAATATTAAATAAGAATACCATGAAGAATGAGGGATGTTCTTGCAGGTTGATTGGGGCATTTTGTAACAAAAAATTGTTTTACTTAACCAGAGGCTTTTAATAATTTATACATATGTTACTATGTATGATAACTTGCGTACCTGTGCCTTAAAAACTTAAGTAACTCTATATAGATATAAATGTTATTATTATAAATATTATTATCATTAATACAGTGGACGGTGGTTAAAAGACCAGGATCACACGTCACAGGTGACGGTTTATGTTTACAACACACGTCACAGGTGACGGTTTATGTTTACAAGACTGAATAAATAAATTGTGCAACAAACAGTTTTATTATGATTAAGAAATTTTGTAAATGCTTTATTACATAAACATTGTAACTTAGATAATGAAATGTTTGTCTCAGTTACTGGACACAGTATGTGTCTGTGTAATGTCTTCACTAATGTTTGTCTCAGTTACTGGACACAGTATGTGTCTGTGTTAATGTCTTCACTAATGTTTGTGTCAGTTACTGGACACAGTATGTGTCTGTGTAATGTCTTCACTAATGTTTGTGTCAGTTACTGGACACAGTATGTGTCTGTGTAATGTCTTCACTAATGTTTGTGTCAGTTACTGGACACAGTATGTGTCTGTGTAATGTCTTCACTAATGTTTGTCTCAGTTACTGGACACAGTATGTGTCTGTGTAATGTCTTCACTAATGTTTGTCTCAGTTACTGGAACAGTATGTGTCTGTGTAATGTCTTCACTAATGTTTGTCTCAGTTACTGGACACAGTATGTGTCTGTGTAATGTCTTCACTAATGTTTTTCTCAGTTACTGGACACAGTATGTGTCTGTGTAATGTCTTCACTAATGTTTGTGTCAGTTACTGGACACAGTTATGTGTCTGTGTAATGTCTTCACTAATGTTTGTCTAGTTACTGGACACAGTATATGTCTGTGTAATGTCTTCACTAATGTTTGTCTCAGTTACTGGACACAGTATGTGTCTGTGTAATGTCTTCACTAATGTTTTGTCTCAGTTACTGGACACAGTATGTGTCTGTGTAATGTCTTCACTAATGTTTGTCTCAGTTACTGGACACAGTATGTGTCTGTGTAATGTCTTCACTAATGTTTGTCTCAGTTACTGGACACAGTATGTGTCTGTGTAATGTCTTCACTAATGTTTGTCTCAGTTACTGGACACAGTATGTGTCTGTGTTAATGTCTTCACTAATGTTTGTCTCAGTTACTGGACACAGAAATGTGTCTGTGTAATGTCTTCACTAATGTCTGTCTCAGTTACTGGACACAGTATGTGTCTGTGTAATGTCTTCACTAATGTTTGTGTCAGTTACTGGACACAGTATGTGTCTGTGTAATGTCTTCACTAATGTTTGTCTCAGTTACTGGACACAGTATGTGTCTGTGTAATGTCTTCACTAATGTTTGTCTCAGTTACTGGACACAGTATGTGTCTGTGTAATGTCTTCACTAATGTTTGTCTCAGTTACTGGACACAGTATATGTCTGTGTAATGTCTTCACTAATGTTTGTCTCAGTTACTGGACACAGTATGTGTCTGTGTAATGTCTTCACTAATGTTTGTCTCAGTTACTGGACACAGTATGTGTCTGTGTAATGTCTTCACTAATGTTTGTCTCAGTTACTGGACACAGTATGTGTCTGTGTAATGTCTTCACTAATGTTTGTCTCAGTTACTGGACACAGTTTTGTGTCTGTGTAATGTCTTCACTAATGTTTGTCTCAGTTACTGGACACAGTATGTGTCTGTGTAATGTCTTCACTAATGTTTGTCTCAGTTACTGGACACAGTATGTGTCTGTGTAATGTCTTCACTAATGTTTGTCTCAGTTACTGGACACAGTATGTGTCTGTGTAATGTCTTCACTAATGTTTGTGTCAGTTACTGGACACAGTATGTGTCTGTGTAATGTCTTCACTAATGTTTGTCTCAGTTACTGGACACAGTATGTGTCTGTGTAATGTCTTCACTAATGTTTGTCTCAGTTACTGGACACAGTATGTGTCTGTGTAATGTCTTCACTAATGTTTGTCTCAGTTACTGGACACAGTATATGTCTGTGTAATGTCTTCACTAATGTTTGTCTCAGTTACTGGACACAGTATGTGTCTGTGTAATGTCTTCACTAATGTTTGTCTCAGTTACTGGACACAGTATGTGTCTGTGTAATGTCTTCACTATTGTTTGTCCAGTTACTGGACACAGTATGTGTCTGTGTAATGTCTTCACTAATGTTTTTTCTCAGTTACTGGACACAGTATGTGTCTGTGTAATGTCTTCACTAATGTTTGTCTCAGTTACTGGACACAGTATGTGTCTGTGTAATGTCTTCACTAATGTTTGTCTCAGTTACTGGACACAGTATGTGTCTGTGTAATGTCTTCACTAATGTTTGTGTCAGTTACTGGACACAGTATGTGTCTGTGTAATGTCTTCACTAATGTTTGTCTCAGTTACTGGACACAGTATGTGTCTGTGTAATGTCTTCACTAATGTTTGTCTCAGTTACTGGACACAGTATGTGTCTGTGTAATGTCTTCACTAATGTTTGTCTCAGTTACTGGACACAGTATGTGTTGTGTAATGTCTTCACTAATGTTTGTCTCAGTTACTGGACACAGTATGTGTCTCTGTAATGTCTTCACTAATGTTTGTCTCAGTTACTGGACACAGTATGTGTCTGTGTAATGTCTTCACTAATGTTTGTGTCAGTTACTGGACACAGTATGTGTCTCTGTAATGTCTTCACTAATGTTGTCTCAGTTACTGGACACAGTATGTGTCTCTGTAATGTCTTCACTAATGTTTGTGTCAGTTACTGGACACAGTATGTGTCTCTGTAATGTCTTCACTAATGTTTGTCTCAGTTACTGGACACAGTATGTGTCTCTGTAATGTCTTCACTAATGTTTGTCTCAGTTACTGGACACAGTGTGTGTCTGTGTAATGTCTTCACTAATGTTTGTCTCAGTTACTGGACACAGTATGTGTCTGTGTAATGTCTTCACTAATGTTTGTCTCAGTTACTGGACACAGTATGTGTCTGTGTAATGTCTTCACTAATGTTTGTCACAGTTACTGGACACAGTGTGTGTCTCTGTAATGTCTTCACTAATGTTTGTGTCAGTTACTGGACACAGTATGTGTCTGTGTAATGTCTTCACTAATGTTTGTCACAGTTACTGGACACAGTATGTGTCTGTGTAATGTCTTCACTAATGTTTGTCATAGTTACTGGACACAGTATGTGTCTCTGTAATGTCTTCACTAATGTTTGTCTCAGTTACTGGACACAGTATGTGTCTGTGTAATATCTTCACTAATGTTTGTCTCAGTTACTGGACACAGTATGTGTCTCTGTAATGTCTTCACTAATGTTTGTCTCAGTTACTGGACACAGTATGTGTCTGTGTAATGTCTTCACTAATGTTTGTCTCAGTTACTGGGAACACAGTATGTGTCTCTGTAATGTCTTCACTAATGTTTGTCTCAGTTACTGGACACAGTATGTGTCTCTGTAATGTCTTCACTAATGTTTGTCTCAGTTACTGGACACAGTATGTGTCTCTGTAATGTCTTCACTAATGTTTGTGTCAGTTACTGGACACAGTATGTGTCTGTGTAATGTCTTCACTAATGTTTGTGTCAGTTACTGGACACAGTATGTGTCTGTGTAATGTCTTCACTAATGTTTGTCTCAGTTACTGGACACAGTATATGTCTGTGTAATTTTTTTTTTTTTTTTATTATCACACTGGCCGATTCCCACCAAGGCAGGGTGGCCCGAAAAAGAAAAACTTTCACCATCATTCACTCCATCACTGTCTTGCCAGAAGGGTGCTTTACACTACAGTTTTTAAACTGCAACATTAACAACCCTCCTTCAGAGTGCAGGCACTGTACTTCCCATCTCCAGGACTCAAGTCCAGCCTGCCGGTTTCCCTGAACCCCTTCATAAAGGTTACTTTGCTCACACTCCAACAGCACGTCAAGTATTAAAAACCATTTGTCTCCATTCACTCCCATCAAACACGCTCACGCATGCCTGCTGGAAGTCCAAGCCCCTCGCACACAAAACCTCCTTTACCCCCTCTCTCCAACCTTTCCTAGGCCGACCCCTACCCCGCCTTCCTTCCACTACAGACTGATACACTCTTGAAGTCATTCTGTTTCGCTCCATTCTTCTACATGTCCGAACCACCTCAACAACCCTTCCTCAGCCCTCTGGACAACAGTTTTGGTAATCCCGCACCTCCTCCTAACTTCCAAACTACGAATTCTCTGCATTATATTCACACCACACATTGCCCTCAGACATGACATCTCCACTGCCTCCAGCCTTCTCCTCGCTGCAACATTCATCACCCATGCCTCACACCCATATAAGAGCGTTGGTAAAACTATACTCTCATACATTCCCCTCTTTGCCTCCAAGGACAAAGTTCTTTGTCTCCACAGACTCCTAAGTGCACCACTCACTCTTTTCCCCTCACCAATTCTATGATTCACCTCATCTTTCATAGACCCATCCGCTGACACGTCCACTCCCAAATATCTGAATACAT